GGTAACAGAAATGAGGACAATAGCCCAAATAATGTAAATAGTGTACATAATACCTCATCTCAGAAATATAGACAGATACTGAAGATGAAAGTCTTTTAAAATATTGAACTCATAATTAATCATAGATTGAAAAGTGGATAAACCTTTCAGTATTTTGAAATTCTGCCATTCATTTGATATTTATTGTAGAGAAAAATTCTGGAGTAATTAACTTTAAAGCATTTTGCTAATAAGCTCTTATGCAATATAAAGTGAGTGGTCAGTTTGTAGTGTTTGTGGAGAAACATTTTACAAATCTATATAAACTGCACATTGGTAAAATGTTTCAATTAGACAAATTCAAATTATAGCAGACACATTAATATAAAATATTCTATTAATTAATCAGCTTCAGACAAAATAAAATACTTTTCATTGAAGATTATTAATAAGAGAAAATATCCCTACAGAGTGGATAACATTTTTTTAATCTATTTCACCCCAAGCAAGCCAGTAAAGCCACCAAGATACAAGGGGTTAAAGCATGTGGAAGAATTAGGAATGGAAACATTACTAATAAACAGAAAGAGAACAGAGTAATCAGGAGCACAGTAGATAGCAATTGACATTGCATTTAAATTTTTACCGATTAAAGTTGGTTGGAAAACAAGGAGCCAGAAATAGAATTGCACAAGCAAGACATGTGAGAGAAGAAACTGTTAGCATAGAATTTACAGATACATCCAACCAGCTCAACTGTAAATTGGTGAGATCATGACACCAGTCTAGTACTATGCTGAAATTAAAAAACTGTTGTAGAGTAGCTGAACACCCCCATAAGATGGATTGGTCTCAGACTATTTAAACAGCACTCTCTCTTATTAAGCAAGAGGAGTTAACAATTAACTGTTTATTACATTATTCTGGAGTAATTAACTTTAAAGCATTTTGCTAATAAGCTCTTATGCAATATAAAGTGAGTGGTCAGTTTGTAGTGTTTGTGGAGAAACATTTAACAAATCTATATAAACTGCAAAATGGTAAAATGTAGACAGACTCAAATGATAGTAGACACATTAATAGAAAATATTCTATTAATTAATCAGCTTCAGACAAAATAAAATCCTTTTCATTGAAGATTATTAATAAGAAAAAATACACCTACATTTTTTTAATCCATTTCACCCCAAGCAAGCCAGTAGAGCCACTAAGGCATAAGGGGCTAGTGAATGTGGAAGAATTAGGAAGAGAAACATTACTACTGAGTGGAAAGAGAAAAGAGTAATCAGGAAGACAGTAGATAGCAACTGACATTGCATTTAAATTTTTGCAGATTAAAATTGGCTGGAAACCATGGTGCCTGAAGGGAGTTCCACAAGTGAGAAGTGTGAGAAAAGAAAGTGATGGCATAGAATTTATGGCTACAATTAGCCAGTTCAACTGTAAATTGATGAGATCTTGATGCCACTCTACTCTGTAAATTTAAAAAGTCTTAAAATTAAATTCAATTACATTTACAGAGAAAAATAAAATTTAAAACATACATATATCAAATTATTAATCTGCAATGTTTCAGAAATTATATAATTCTATGGAGGTAAGATTTTATCAACAGTCAAAAGCACTCGTAAAAATACATCTTTCAAAATTCACTTAGTTCATTGAATAATAATAAAAATATGTACTCATTTCATTTTTATCAACTTCCATAGTGATGGCACTGTTGATAATATTTTTTATTAACAAATAAAAATAAATCCATGCTTTATATTCCGACTTTTATAGACTACCATATAAATGCAGTCTTTGAAAAATTTTATGTGTATGTTGAGGAACTAGTTTGATAACTTTTATTGCCAGTTATAAAAGAGAAATTTCATTTCAATTTAGACAATCAAAGTAATATTTTATTTTTCATAGTAAGATCACTAGAAACTATTTCCAATGCCCAGATATTCTCAAATAATTTCCAATATATTCTCATATTAAATTTGTTTCCATTGCATTTCTATAATAAATGATTAATGTTTGCATTTATTCCTGACCACTGACAATCCCTTTTTTCCTATTTTCAATACATTTCTCTATTAAAATGACTTAGAATATATTTCTGGAGTAAATATTTGTCAATTTCATAATATATAATCCTCTTCTCCAATTAGTATTTACTACACCTAATGAGTCATGTGACACTTTGTTGTAGAGTAGTTTTCCCAGTGGAGGCTTGTATTTCAATAAGTCATCCTAAATTAGGTTCGACATACAAAACATTAGGAACTTGGAAATAAGAGTTAATGACGCAGCAATCTAGTTGTGATGGTTGGTACTTCAATGTCCGATATCAACTGACTCGCTCAACACCACTGAGCCAAACTGGTGACCGCTACTACTACTACTACTACTACTTATTATCTGTGGGAGAGTCTATTAATAATAGAATAGGTACATCACTTAAAGTCTGTTTAGCAAAGCCAGGTCAGTCCAGGAACCCAGTCTTCCAAGAGATACTGCTAAGGTAAGATGCATTTCAAAACTTATGAGTATACACAACCCCTCACTGCTCATATGTCACACATGTGAGCAGAGACAGATTATGTAATATAGACTAGCTTTCTTTTTCAGGGTCAGTGAGAAGGCATATTACACATTTCTATACTCTGTTAGCATGTTCTGTTTCTATAAAATATAAACTTCATTTACATTCTTCTGAATTCTTGCTTTTTATATTAAATAAATATGTGGACAAATATCTGTACAGACAACAAATATTACCTGCTCTCAGATATTCGGTAAACATAATACGTCGGTAATAGTTGTGTAATACTTCCATATTTTTTAGTATATAACAAATCTTTCTTTTTCTGATCAAGTTAAAAGTAAGATAAGAAAATGAATTAATGAAAGTCACTAATCACTGGCATACAATAACTGATACAGTCACTGCAAATGTTGGTCAGTAATTTTTTTATGAAAAAACATGTCAATATGCTTTCTGTATACATTTTGAATTAATTCCAGATCTTCCAAACAAAATGCCATATTGAATTTGGAGAGTTTTTGAATGACACAATGGCCAGAATATTTTTTAATGTTTCTCTCTTAGAAAAGTTCTGCTGTTCAATGAAGAAATCCTACCCATCTTTGTGTAAAAAGTGTACAGAAAATCTTTTGCTACTTACCATTTTGTGCAAAACTGTCAATTGAAAATAACACATATGCAGATTTTTTCCAAAAGTGATTATTTTGTTGAATAAATCTTGGCTCATACATCTCATGAAATGTGTAAGAATGTGTAAAATAAAAATTATAATCAAATATCACTAGTTTGCTCTCTGTTATATGACATCTTTCTTTTTTTATCATTTCACTCAAGGCAATAAAGCCACTAGGATGCGAGCAGTTACTGAGGATTAAAAAAAGAACAGAAGGCAGAAGGGATTTGCGAATCAAGTAATTTGCAAGCTTTTCATTTTCTGATTGTTCCTTTTATAATTTTAACCAATGAGTTTGTGTGGAAAATGGTTGAAAGTTTTGTGGCCCATCAGAAACCTTTTCTCACCACTGTCAAACAGAGAAAAATGGCATGGTTTGGACACGTTACAAAGCACAACAGACTGTGCAAGACCATCATGCAAGGCACTGTTGAAGGTGGACATAGGAAAGGATGCCAATGAAAAAACTGTTTGGACAATGTCAAACAATGGTCCAGTATGACTATACCAGAACTACTGTTGGCTGCTGTTGATAGACTGTTATGGAAAGAATTCAATATGGCTTCTGCATTCAGATCTCCCCCTACGATTACAAAAGTCAAGGGAATGATGATGATGATGATGATAATATTAATTTTTCTCTTTTTCTTATCTCATTTTTTTTCTTTAGTTTCAATATTAATTTGTCTTTATTTACATTATTCGGACTATTGTCCTCATCTTTGTTGTCATATTTATTACAACATGCAATGATAACAGCAAAAATTGCAATATGAGCAAAAAATGGTTGTTGATGACATTAGATTTATAATACCCAGAAATTCATACACAGATGTCTTCAAGGACACATGGCACAGTGGATAAAGGCTTTAGTTAGATCCAGTGACAGGACCCAAAGAGTGTGAGTTCAGTACCCAGTTAAGGCGGTGGAGAACTTGGAGAGGGGAATTAACAGGAGATAACTGATAACTGACATCCATTAAACATGGCACACGGAACTAGCCCAGTGAGTGAAATAAAGGGTTTGGTTCGACATTCCAAACACCTGAAGAAGGCCGAAGCATACAAAAGAAAAGATTGGCAACAAAGATGAGGACAATAGTCCGAATAATGTAGATAGTGTACATAATACCTCATCTCAGAAATATAGACAGATACTGAAGAAGGCCGTTGCAATAAATATCGCGACAAAGATGAGGACAATAGTGTCCATAATACCTCATCTCAGAAATATAGAAAGATATTAATTTGTCTTTCTATCCATATTTGTAACTTGTAATAACAACACAATACAATATTTGGACTTCAAAATATGAAATCAATATGCTGGATGAAAATGGTAGCATAATAAATCTTTTAAATTATTTTTTTTGCAATCATTTCACCATGCAATGGCTGAAATAAAGCCGCGAAGACACAGGGGTTACTGAGTGTTAAAGATATGAGAAAAACATTATTAATTAAATGAGAAAAAACATTATTAGCCTCTACAACTCTGTAGGCATACATGTCTGTCGGTGATACTCTTTCTCAATAAGTTTTATGTTAGCAATTTCTTCTTTTGTGAAACTCTTTTCTGGATTCTTGCTTTCCAGTCAGCTGATATTCAAAAATTTAAATACAATGTCAATCATCATCTTCTGTCGCCTTAAATCCCATTGCATTATTTTCCTTTCTGTTTCTATCACTCTCAGTAACCCCTTGTGCCTTAGTGGCTTTTATCATATCGTGTGGGTGGAAATGATTAAAAAAACAAAGTAAAGAGCTCTCTATCTAAGTCCACTCATATCTATCTATATATTACTACCACTACATCTGGTTACGTAAAAACATCCCCAAATCAATAAGATAGATAGATAGATGTTGGTCAATTATTTTTAGAGCATCAACTATAAATTTAAAAGAGAATCTGCAATGATATTGGTCCTGACCTGGCATCTCAACTTCAATCACTTTCCCACAGATGTAATATAGCTTCACTGTACTTTTTCTATAAATACTTCCATGATAATTGCTCTGATGAACTTTGCTCTATGGCACCTTGACTTTATGAATTTAAGTGCAGTACTAGGTTGGCAGTTCAGTTCCATCATTTTACTGTTAAAATTGCTAAATGTAATAATAAAGACCATGCTAATAGTTTCTTCTCTCACATTTCTTGCTTGTGGAACTCACTTCTGGCTTCTAGTTTTCCAGTCAACTTTAATCTTCAAAAATTTCAATCCAGTGTCAATCATACTCTCCTGTCTCCTGTCCTTTTTTTACCTCTCTTCTCAATAATGACTTCTTTCAGTTTCTTTCATGCTAACCCCTTGCATCTTAGTTGCTTTTTTTGCTTTGTGCTGGAGTGAAATGATTTTAAAGGAAGTAAAATAAAATAAGTGGCTGTTGCGCACTCTTAAGAAGATTAAAAAAAATGGCAACTGGATAGATTTCTTATTTTACTGTTCCTGTTTTGTTTAAGTTGCTTTATGGTGATCCCTGTTTGAATTTCTGGGATGATGAATTATTATTATCATTATTATTTACACTATTTACTTTTGGATTATTATCCTTATCTCTGTTGTTGTTATGACAACGTTTCAGCCGTTGTGCCCTCCGGACTTCATCAGGAGCATATCAATATTGATAAAAACAAAGATGAAGACAAGTCCAAATTTAAATTCTGCAAATTTATGTTAATTATTTTTCTTTCTTCTCATTTTCCTCTTTTCATAATCTTTGTTCTTTATTTTATTGATTTTCACACATCGTCTTTGTAGCTTTAGTAAAATTTTGTACCCCCTTGCACTTGAAAAAGATATTAAGGTTATATTCAGTTTCATTAAATATTTATATTACAATTGGACTTATTATCTTTGTCTTTCTTGTTATTATCACGTTTCAGCTGTTGTGCCTTCCAACTTTTTAGATAGATAATGAGCGGAGTGAAATGGATAGAGCTGAAAAGACTGAGACAGACAAATAGAGAGATAGATTGATCTGAACAGACTCAGATAGATAGATAGATAGATAGATAGATAGATAGATAGATAGATAATCCAAATTTAAATTATCACAACGTTTCAGCCCGTGTTTTCCATCCTTTTAGATAATGAGTGGAGTAAAATGGATAGAGCTGAACAGACTGAGACAGACAAATACAGAGATAGGCAGATTGATTTGAACAGACCGACATAAATAGATAACTAGCTAGATATATTTGAATATAAATAGATTGATTTAAACAGACTGAGACAGAGAGATAGATAGAATAAAGAAAATGGATAGATAGATAGATAGATAGATAGATAGATAGATAGATAGATAGATAGATAGATAGAAATAGACAGCTAAGATGAGACTGAGATAGATAAAGAAAATGGATAGATAGATAAAGAAGATAGATAGATAGATAGATAGATAGATAGATAGATAAAGAAAATGGATAGATAGAGTAAAGAAGATAGATAAAGAAAATGGATAGATAGATAAAAGAAAATGGATAGATAGAGTAAAGAAGATAGATAAAGAAAATGAATAGATAGATAAAGATAGATTAAAGAAAATGGATAGATAGATAGATAGAAATAGACAGCTGAGACTTAGATAGATAGATAGATAGATAGATAGATAGATAGATAGATAGAAATAGACAGCTAAGATGAGACTGAGATAGATAAAGAAAATGGATAGATAGATAGATAGAGTAAAGAAGACAGATAGATAGATAAAGAAAATGGATAGATAGATAAAGATAGATTAAAGAAAATGGATAGATAGATAGATAGATAAAGAAAATGAATGGATAGATAGATAGATAGATAGATAGATAGATAGATAGATAGATAGATAGATAGATAGATAGATAGTCCAAATTTAAATTATCACAACATTTCAGCTTTTGTACCTTCCAGCCTTTTAGATAGAGAATGAGCAGACAGAAATAGATAGAGTTGAACAGAATGGGACAGACAAATAAAGAGATAGATTGATTTGAACAGACTGAAATAGACAAATGGAGAGATAGATACATTTGAATAGACTGAGATAGATAGATACACTTGAACAGTTCGAGATATCTCTTACCCTCAATTATTCTCAACCAATGTGTAAGCAGTTCCATCAACCTTTGTTCAAAATGGGGATCTTACATCAGATCAGTGTAGTATCTGGGCACTTTATAGATAGATAGATAGATAGATATGCAATGAATTAGAAATACATTGACTAATGATAACACATCAATCTCTCATATTTAACATTACATTTTATTCAACTCCTGATAGTGTCAATTATATTTGGCCTGTGGGTGTGTGCATAGCCACTG